AGAGGGCAGTGTCACTGGCCCTCATATGTGGGATCTGAACCGGGGCCCTCTGGCGTCCCAAGCCAGCTCTTAACCATCGCGCCACTCGGCCGGCCCAGACACTTCTGATGACGGCGAACTACTGCTTGAGCAACATTGACCAAAGTGTCCACTGATATACATTTTTTTGGCTCCCCTGGTATATTATACACACATAAAAAATAACAAAAAGGACAAATTCATGCAATAGCAATATTAAGGTAAATTTTGAAAAAAGGAAAATCTGCCACTCGAACAGATTTTATTTTTGTATAATTTAACTTTACCTGTTTCCAGAGATATATACAATTTTGCATCTTTTTGGAGAAGTTGCTTTGATGTGGCTTAAAAGTTAACAGTTCCTTAATATGTTTGACCTACAGCTTGCTTTTGCATCATTCCATTCTCATGTATTGAAAAATGGAGTACTCCAGTGTTAAATGTTTTAGAATATGGCATCTGATTTTTATTCTACCTTTGTTGCTGTTTAAGGTGGTTACAATTTCTTAGCTTATATGTATGTTTATTTTGAAAGTCTGGGGTAATAGGTATCTTACGAATTAAATGCCATTATTTCATGAAGGTGAGGGCTTTTGTTTTGTTCTCTGCTGAATCCTCAGCTCCTATAATAATAACCTCTGCACAATAAATATTTGTTAAATAAATGAATGATTTGCATAAATTGGTGGCGGTAGAGAGGGAAGCCAGGGAATCAGAAAACTAAAGGACTTCTGCCCTAAATGACATCTCTGGCAGGTGAAAAACAAACAACAAAAAACCAAAACCATCCTGAATAAAGAGTTGCTAGTCACTCACATGGTGATTAGACTTTCCTTTTTCTATGAATGACATTCCCAGTCTGAGTCACCAGCTTACAGCCATTTTTTTCAAACTTGTCTATCTTCAAAAGCTTTCTATATTAGCAGAATGTTAGTGTCTGTAAGATAGTAGGGTGTGGGCATGAAATTTTTGTCTTTTATATTAAAAATTCATATTTTATATTCTATTCCTTTGTATTTCTGCATGTCATTATAAAAATGTTTTCTTCCCCCCAAATTATCAAGTAAAATTGAGTTTCTAACACTTTACATTCCATTCCTCCAGAGTTTGGTGTTGGAAGCAAGGATCTCAAGCCATCTTAGGCTCCTAGTATCCTGTGTGTCCGTTTTTGTCTCTCTTTTGATTCTACCTCTGCAGTGTCTTTGAGGTCTCTTTTCTATTTTATCTATCTCATTCTTGTTTAGTTCCTCATCACCTCACCTCTTCATTCTTCCTATTTTATTTCTTCACTGCTAAATTACACTTCCTAGAAGAGTCTAGATTTCTACACATCATTTCCTTACTCTGTAAGATTTCTTTTTCAAAGCCTCACAACAAAGGTGCCTCAGTCTACCTTTCAGCCCTTTTCCCTACTACCCTCCTTCTCTTAATCCTTTGTTTTAGCTAAATGTCCTACTTGTTCATGTGAACATATGTCTTTTCTTTACTGTTTTTATTCAGATTCATTTTACCCCTAGAATGGATTCACTTACTCATTCACCTCAAATATATTTGTATGTGTATCCTTATCCCCCATCTTTGCCTATAGACATTCCGTTTGAACCTCAGGATCCATCTGAAAGGCTGCTACTTCAAAGAAGGCTTTATTAATAAATCCCTTCCCTACGTTCCCTTTAAGAAGAAGAAAGGAATAAGCAAACTCAATCTTGCCTTCTTTGGAAACATCCTAGCATGGTGTTTTTGTATAGGACATTTATTTTTATTGCAAAGTGTATTTTAGTTGTTTGTGTATTTGTCTTATCTCTTTCCCTAGCTTTTAAGTGCCTTTGGGACTGGGACTCAATCTTTGTATCCTTGGCAGGAATAGGCATTTCCTTCCACTTAATAGGGGCTCTGTGTAATTTTTAAAGTGGATTGAAGATAGCAGAAGATTAAAAATATAGTAACTCTGATAATTAGCTGACGGTTCCTGGCATTGATTACTAGTTGGCTAATTATGGGTAGGTTCTTAGTAATGTATGAGTAGATCTACTCTCTTCCTTCTCGCCATGTCCCTGCTTACGTATTTGTGTATTACACATTTCACAATGAAAGGGTTCAGTTCTAATTGATGGCATCTTGAAAGAACCTGACTATTTTCCTAACGCAACATTTATTTTTTAAATGATGTCAGAGTGATCTTTTCTAATTTTGAAGTTTAAATCTGCTGTCTGGATTTCTTTGCTCATTTGTTTTACTATAACTGATTAGTGCGACGTCTTCAGTAAAGTTTGTTTACTGATGTACATTCATAATCCAAATATTGGGTTTGCTTTGGTATTCTATTGGAACTGTATCAGATTGCAGTATTTTCTAGAAATATTGGGTTTTACTTTGAGAAAATCTGGTTCAAAAAGTGAAATATTCCTGATGTTGTAAAAATTCATGTTTGTGATTACCTTGCCAATAGAGAATATCCATCAAGTCACTAGGCTCTTACAGTAACTGGGATATGTTATGTAAATGTGTTGCTGTTCGCCAAGGAAACTTCTTGCCACATACCTAGATCATTAACTGCCCTCTATGATGTTTTCTAAATTAAGTGTTTATGGCTCTCTGTCTTTCAGGCTGGCATGGCTCTATATAAGATTGTCCCCAAAAACCCTTACTACTTTTGGTCTGTGATGAGCTTAATTATGCAAGTGAGTATGGCATTCAGAATGGGACTGAGATTTGTTTTTATTTTTGTATATAGTTATTGTCCTTAATGTGTCTTCTGAATGTCTTGGGTAATGTGTCAAACGGACTTTTCATATTGTTAGTTGACTTTTTGAGTTGGGGAGTTTTGGTATTCTTTATGAGTTGGTATATTGCTTTATTTGTGTGTAGCACAGACTGTATTTCCCCTGAACCTAGATCCATTCCTGGGATATTTGATCAAGTATAAGCTCTGAAATGTTTGATGTTTTGACTTCAGGTTTATCTTTAAGACAATATTGTTGGTTAGTGAACAGGTAATTGAGCTGGTGGCCTTGTTTTATCATTTCTGCTTTATGAGCCTCAGTTTGCTCTTTTGCAGAATGGAGATGCTCATCTCCCAGAGCTACTGTAAGCACCAAAATGAGACACTGTAGGAGAGGATGGGGAGGTAGGAGTTAAAATGTAACAGTTAAGAACAGAGAGGCCCTGGGTTCAGACAGGTCTGTGTTCAAATATTGGCTTTACCACATGTCTTGGAGAGCAGTTGGGGAATATTAACTTCATTTTATCTATAAAATGAACATAATAGCTACCTTGAAAGGTTGTTTACAGGGTGTGAATGAGCTCTGAGCAGAATCTCTGGCAGTGTTAAAATTAATACCATGCATCAATTTTAATTATCACTCTAGGGTAATTGTAGCTAATAGTAAGCTGTGTAAATAATTGGCATTTTCCTTCTAATGTGTGAACATCTCAAAAAGACATCTGAAACAGTTTTTAAACACCTGATGATACCCTTTATATATATAATGATCAGTATAGGCATATCCCCCTCAACATATTTCTAGAAAAATGTATGTGTAACCTATTTAAAAGTTAGGTCATATTGTAGGATAATGAACCTTTAATAAAGAAATCTCTTGTACAGCCAACCACTCTCTAATGTATTTTCTAGACAAGTTCAAATTAGGTCTGATAGTTGACATATTAGAATGATAATTATGTGCCAGAGTCATAGTAATGGTCTGCATGGGAATAATATAAATAGTGCAAGCAGGAGAGAAATTAGCACGAAACATTTTTTTCTCTTCTAGTCTATATCAGCACAGGATGAAAACCTCTCAAAAACGATGTTTCTGCCCCTCGCTGAGAGAATGGTAGAAAAAATGGTGAAAGAGGACAAGATAGAAGCAGAGGCTGAAGTGAGTTAATTAAGCCCTACTTTTGTATTTGCATATTGATACTGCTACAATATTATGTTACAATATTACGAACTGTTGCTTTATTCCAGTTCTAGAGCTGGGTCCTCAGTCTTGCCTTTTGGGTAAATGTGAAGCTTTGGAAGCCCCCAGCTTAGGTATAATGAACATGGAACTGTTTTCAGCAAGTACTGTAGTCTGAAATGTATGTATTGTAGATAAGGGGAAATACTGTTGTCTGAGTCTTACTGTTAATTTCATCTTATTTGAAGATAGTGTTCTTTTTTTATTAGATAACTTTTTAAAAACATACAAATGACCATCTTTTTATTATTGAAAAGTTTCAGTAGTTGCACCTGTTTGTTTTTTTGTAAGGTTGAACTTTATTATATGATCCTGGAACGTTTGGGGAAGTACCAGGAAGCCTTGGATGTCATCAGAGGAAAATTAGGAGGTAATTTTGAAAGTTTTCTTATTTTTTTCTTGTTAAAACATGAAAAAAGTTTATTGTGGAAAATTTTTTCCTCATACAGAAACATAAAGATATAAAGACGTTAAAAAAAATCACTTGTGATCATTTTATGTTCTTTGGACTTTTCTGTGTTGTACATTTATTTTTTAAAAACATTTTTAAATTGAAAATAATTTATGAATTCATAAAATTCAAGGAGTGTGAAAGGCTCTACCCCAGATCTTCAACCTTCTGCCCTCTAGGTCCTTCTCTAGTTACTTGTTCTGTATATCCTTCTAAAGATGTATCTCCCTCCAACCCCCTATCTTTTAGTTTTAAACCACAGATCAGAACATACTGTACCTGGCCCATAATAAGAGTAATCTTATTCAGTTAGCACAGGTTTATATTAAAAACATTTTTTTTCTTTTAAGCTTGAAAAATGTGAATATCTCTAGTTAGGATTTGTGCTCAGACACAAACATTCTTTGTTTACCTGTCTGTCCCATGAAGGCATTTAAGTTTGTGACCTTTGCTCTACATACTCTTAGAGCCATTGTTTGTTTTTTTAGCTTAGATTATGTCTTAGAGATACACCTCATTAGCTCACTCATTAATGACTGCCCAACGTCCCATAGCATAAATGTAGAGGATTTTCTTAACCAGGCCTTGAAGGATATTTGAGTTTCTTTGCAAGAGGCATCTTTGCTCTAAACCAGATTGCCCTCCAACAGGCTACAATGCGCATTCCTCTCAGCTGTGTTTATTCTCAGCATGTAATAGGGCCTGTTTCTTTGCATACTTACCAATCTGCAGTATCAAACTGTTTATCAAACTTTTTATGTTTTTAAATCTGATAGATAAAACATATTTTATAATTTTTAATTTAATTAAGAGGGAGGATAATTATTTAAAAGCCATTAATCTTGTCCTCTTCGTGGAGCTACTTTTCCTTATCTTTTTCCTATTTCTAAAAATTTGATTAATCTCCTTACTGATTTGCAAGAGCACTTTATATGTTAAAGAAGCTAGTTCTTTTCTATTGTGAAAATACTTCTTCCTTTTTTTTTTTTTTTGTTGGAACACAGATTTGTACAAACTTCATAGATTGATTTAATGATTCCCCTATTTTGGAAATTTATGACCAGGATTTTGGTTCCTAATGATTTACACATGTCTGATGATTTCCTTAGAAGAAATTCCTGGAAATGCAGTTATTGTTTTGGTAAACCTCGTCTTTTAATTGTGGCTTTACAGCCATTGGGAGTAACTAACTGTAGATGTGTAGCCTCAGAGCTCTCATTAGGTATAATCTCTAAAAAAAACTGTTTGATACAAGTATGTACTATCCTTTACTAGACTGTGCAGTCATAGAACTGTTTCACTAACTGATAGTTAACTACTTTATATAAAATGGAGGAGGAGTTTGTTTTTTTCTTGAGATTTTTATTGGGGAATTGGAATGGGAACAGCACTGGGGAATTGGGGGAAGGGGAACAGACAAGTTGCTGTCCTTTTGTTCTTCAGTCTAGTTGGAGAGGACGTTGCTTCACTGGCCCAAGTTGGCACCATCATTGTGCTCCTCCCAGGCGAGGCAGATCAGTCGCTGGCTTCTGGACAGCCACTCACGGCCGCTGCTGGCCGCTCACGCTGGCTGCTGGCCACACACGGTAGCCCATGGCAACCCACTGCAGCAGGAGCTACAGCCTACACCGTCGCCAGTGACTCATGGCAGCCCACCTCCAGGTCGAGCTGTTGTTCAGCATCTTAGCTGTAGAGG